AGTTGGAGGTTGCTGTGAGCTGTGGTGCCACGGCACTCTACCCAGGGGGACGGCTTGAGGCTCTGTCTCAAAAAAAAAAAAAAAAAAAAAAAAAAACTTCTTATTCTTAGTCCTGTGTTCTTATAACTATACCATGCTAAATCAGTATTAAAGATATTAGGGCCAGGAGCAATGGCTCATGCCTATAATCCTAGCACTCTTGGAGGGCAAAGTGGGTGAACTGCCTGAGCTCATAGGTTTGAGACCAGTCTGAACCACAGTGAGACCCTGACTCTAATCATAGCCAGGCATTGAGGTGAGCATCTGTAGTCCCAGCTACTTGGAAGGCTGAGGCAAGAGAATGGCTTGAGCCAAAGTTTGAGGTTGCCATGAGCTATGACGCCACAGCACTCTACCAAGGGTAACAAAATGAGAAAATGAGACTGTCTTCAAAAAAAAAAAAAAAAACCAACTTGTCTGCATTACTTTCATAATTTTAAAACACCAGTCAGTCTTGATAATGCTTAAGTTCCTGTCTACTACTTTAGTTTGTTTCTTCTTCCTCATTTTTCTAGGGCCAGGCTTGAACCTGCCACCCCTGGTATATGGGGCTCACCCTGCTCCTTGAGCCACAGGTGCTGCCCCTAGTTTGCAGAGAGAGGAAAGAACAGAGTAAAAAGTTGGCATGGAATCACACATACAAAATTAATATTTATCTTGTACAACAAAAGGAGACCGTCATTTTTGCAAGGTAAAAAGCTGGAGACTTGTCACAAAACATGTCATCTTTAAAATATAGCCATGTGTCACTGAATGACAGGAATATGTTCTAAGAAACGTGATGTTAAACAATTTTGTTGTGCAAAACTCATGGAGTGCACTTACACAAACCTAGATAGGATAGCTTACTACATGCCAAGGCTATTTGACATTGCCTATTGCTCCTAGGCTTCAAACCCATACAGCATGTTATTGTACTAAATACTGTAGGTTACTGTCACACAATGGTAAATATTTGTGTAATGAAACATATCTAAACATAGAAAGATACAGTAGCTAGGTGAGATGGCTCACATCTGTAATCCTAGCACTCTGGAAGGCCGAGGCAGGTGGATAGACTGAGCTCATGAGTTCAAGACCAGCCTGAACAAGAGCAAGACCTTGTCTCTTTAAAAAAAAAAAAAAATAGCTGGACATTGTGGCAGACACCTATAACCCAGCTACTTGGGAGGCTGAGGCAAGACAATCGCTTGAGTCCAAGAGGTTTTTTTTTTTTTTGAGACTGAATCTCACTATGTCTCCCTTGGTACAGTGCCATAGTGTCACAGCTCACAGCAACCTCAAACTCTTGGGCTCAAGCAATTCTCTTGCCCCAGCCTCCCAAGTAGCTGGACTACAGATGCCCACCACAATGCCTGGCTATTTTTGTGTTGTAGTTGTTATTGTTATTCAGCAGGCCCGGGCGGGGTTCCATCCCACCAGCCCCAGTGTATGTGGCTGGTGTCCTAACTACTGAGCAACGGGCACCAAACCTGAGCTCAAGAGTTTGAGGTTGCTGTGAGCTATGACACCATGGCATTCTACCAAGGGTGAGAAAGTGAGACTCTGTCTCAAAAAAAAGGATACAGTAAAACTATGGTATAATTTTATTGGCCTCTGTCATCATTGACTGAAACATTGTTATGTGGTGTATGACCTTAACATGTATCTCTCCACCTTAGCAGATATGTCATTTTACAATGCTACAAAAAGGTGACCTTTGGGAATTCAACACTTAATTTTCTGCATTAGATTTGATATCTCCAAGCTAGAATCACTTTATGACTTTATTGCTGAAATACTACAAGTTTAAGGATTAAGAATTACATTGCAGGCTCGGCGCCTATAGCTCAACCGGCTAAGGCGCCAGCCACGTACACCTAAGGTGGCGGGTTCGAATCCCCAGCCCGGACCCGCCAAACAACAATGACGGCGGCAACCAAAAAATAGCCAGGCATTGTGGCGGGTGCCTGTGGTCCCAGCTACTTGGGAGGCGGAGGCAGGAGACTTGCTTGAGCCCAGGAGTTGGAGGTTGCTGTGAGCTGTAATGTTACAGCACTCTACCCAGGGGGACAGCTTGAGGCTCTGTCTCAAAAAAAAAAAAAAAAAAAAAAAAGAATTACAGTGCAAATCTGATAGCACAACACAATACTGCTCCTATTCCCTGTTCTGCAGATCCTCTTTAAGATCAGATTCTAAAGATGGAAAGACTGACAAAAAAATTTCTTGGTAATAATCTAAAGGTGGTGGGTAGAAATGAAAGGCCATCAGAAAGCTAAAATCCAGTGCTTCTATCCTAAAGGATTGAGAAGTCGTATTTGTGAAAAGCATTAAATGAGGCAGGCAAGCTTGAGAGAGGAACATTTTTTTTTTTTTTTGGCGACAGAGTCTCAAGCTGTTGTCTTCAGTAGAGTGCAGTGGCATCACAGCTCACAGCAACCTCCAGTTAGGTGATTCTCTTGCCTCAGCCTCCCGAGTAGCTAGGACTAAAGGCGCCCACCACAATGCCTGGCTATTTTTTTGTTGCAGTTTGGCCGGGGCCGGGTTTAAACCCTCCACCCTCGGTATATGGGACTGGCGCCCTACTCACTGAGCCATAGGTGCTGCCCCAGATGAACACTTTTTAAAGGCCAACTATTGAATTATTTGGGCATAGCATACAAGTACTATAGAGCTCTTGGATACAGGCAACTAAACAAAAATGCTAGCAAGATGAGAAAATATATAAGTACCAGAATTATTGTTTTGATTTTTTTCCTTAAAAAAGTCAACTACAGGGCGGCACCTATGGCTCAGTGCACACAGTAAATGCTTATTGAATGAGAGGCCAAAGGAGTACCAAGGATGTTAGAACTGTTTTCTCAGGCTTTTAAAAATCAATCTATCTGATTGAGAGGCCATTAATTCCTGATCTCCCTTACTTTCTTATTCTTCCTTCAGCTTTCCAGGCATGCCATCCACAGACGCAGATCACTGTCCTTTATCCAGTCTATCCCATCCCACCCACGAGATGTACCTGGGTAGCATTTTTCTCTCATGACACACACACAGTCAACTCCACATGTCCAACTTTACGCTTCTGAACTCAGCAATTAATTATTTCACTAGTTGGTGAGTCAGTGCAGCACCCTGTGTGTGGGCTGAGCCCTCTTGGCTCAAGAACACATTTGAACATCAAGTGGGTGAAAGAGAAAGTACATGCAGTGAGAAAAGATGGAGTTAGTCAGCCTAGAGCTAACATGATATAGCTAGTCTGCTCAGTTTAGGTCTTAAGCGACCTTTATCTCCTGTCTCCCATTTTTACTGTTTTATAAATTTAACTCTCACTCTAAAAATGTCTGTCTTAAGTAGTTTAGGTAGGTTAATTTAGGAGATTAACTTTTTTTTTTTTTTTTGAGACAGAGCCTCAAGCTGTCCCCCTGGGCAGAGTGCCGTGGCACCACAGCTCACAGCAACCTCAAACTCCTGGGCTCAAGCAATTCTCTTGCCCCAGCCTCCCAAGTAGCTGGAC